ACCCCGCATATTGCAAAACGAACGTGTGCACGATGCCATTCAACCCCCTCTTTCAGGAAGCTTTTGGCTGCTCGAATCCGGAAGGCAGATGAAAAGACTCAAAGACGCGCGGGAAAAAAGGACAAAAAGTCTTTGGAAATGATTTAATTTGTTGGTTAAAATTTACGACCGACAATTATTTTTTTTTTGGTTGTTTGTTTTTGGGAGTGTCGTGTGTGGGCAAGGGCAAGGTTAGGCTGAAACTGGAGTGAATATCGGCAATCCTAATCCAAACGGGAAACATTAACACAACAACAACATTCAGGTAGAGAGGTACAAAGGGACCGTCTCAAATAATGCATGGTTCGACGATTAGGGCTTTTGCGACTTGACTCCAGCGAAAATTTTCCCGTAAAATCACGCGCAGTTCCAGTGTTGTGCCTGAGGTTGGGAACCGACGGGTTTCAGGAAGCACACTGGTTTACGCCCACGACGCATACTGCATCGCGGCGCCCGGTATGTGCGGCTTCCATATATACCTCCGCAGGGCCGAGCCGAGTACAAGAGGCATCATAGGGGTCTGACGAGAGGGGGCCTCCTCCCAGGGCGGGTGGGGCGCAGCGCACGGCACCGAGGTGTAATGATGGGGATTACAGCCCGAGCTCACGCCGCACGAGCGCCGCACGAGCGCCAAGTTCAAACCCTGCATTTGGATTTCGGGAGCGGCAGTTCGGCAGTTGAGCGAAGACCAAAGCCGTCTTCGCCGAGCTCGTCGGCGTCATCGGCGGCATGCGCCGGCGCGCGCAAAACTCGTGTGCGAGAAGGGCGGGCCATGTCGGGACATGAACACCGCGGCGAGGAGGCGGCCTCGGAGCCGAGGCCCGAGCGAGGCGGCGCGCGGCATAGGCAACCCGCCGGCACTCGTGCGTGGCGGCGCAGTCCACTGCCACGGCGGCGGCCGAGGCGCTGCGGTGACCGAGGCCTCGCTGCTGCACTTATCGCATCTGCAGCCGGTGACCGAGGCCCTGCATTTGGCCGATGCCTCACATCTGCAGCCTGTGGCCGAGGCCTCCCAGCCCGACTAGTACACTGCATCCGCAGCTGCCGACTGATTCCGCAGCAGCTGGTGGCCGAGGCGTTAGTTGCGTCGGCCACCGTGCCGGTGAAGTCGGTAACTTGCCACCAAGATCTCGGCCACAGGACCAGCTGCCGCAGCTGCCGCGGCCGGTTGTTTGTCGAGGTTGTTGTTGAGGAGGACGGGGCGATAGAGGATGCGTGCATCATCTCGCATCACCGACCAGGCGAATCTGCCCGCGGCGGGCACGAACCTCTCCCTCCCCCTTCATCGCAGGTAGCAAACCCGAATTGAGGGGGGGGGG